AGATAGAGAGCCACTAAAGTAGAGTACAGGAGTTGTCATGGTCAGATCTGCTCTTTAGGAAATTCATTTTGGCAACTGAGGGGAGGATGGACTGGAGTGGAGAAAGGAGACCAATCAGAAAGCTACTGCAATAGTTCAAGCAAGCGATAAGATGCTAGGAAGAGAAGGTACTTAAAATTCCTGGGTTTTCTCAGACGCTTTCTCTTCTTTCAGTTAAGGGAGTGTGGTGGTAAAGTGGGTGGTGCCTAGGAAAAGGAGAAATTTGATTATCTTTCTTGGAATTGTCTTCTTAAAAAAAAAAAGTGACAATAGTTCCTGTGATATATAGATCGGAGTCACAGAGATTGGGGAGCAAACTTCCAAATGAAGTATTAATCTTACCCCTCCCCCCAAGACAGAATTACTCTGAGGAAGACTTCCCCAAGAGGCAGGAGAAGTTACGTGAGGTATTATTGGTTGAATCTGACAGAATCTACAAGGGCCTTAGAAGGATCTATAGGAGTGGGGAACCTGTGGCCTCTAGGCCACACGTGGCCTTCTAGGTCAAATGTGGCCCCTTTGACTGAATCCAAACTTCACAGAACAAATCCTCTTAATAAAAGGATTTGTTTTGCAAAACTTGGACAGAGTCAAAAGGCCACACCGGAGGACCTAGAAGGCTACATGTGGCTTCGAGGTCACAGGTTCCCCACCCCTGATCTAAAGTTTGTTCATGCTGCTTTCCTCTAAAACAGAGATGTCAAACACAGCCCCCAACACTCACAAGTACAGCCCAAACCAGATTAAAATGTAATTGGGAAATATTTAACAAAATAAATATACAACAAACAAAACATAGATAACATTACATTTTAAAACTAAGTCAATATGCAGCCAGCAGGGATCCAAAGAGAAGCAGAAAGAAAAGGAGTGACTTTATGTATGACTTAGTGACCTCCATTTCTATTTGGGTGTGACACCATTGCTATAAAACACAGTTTAGTCCTCCTCCATGACATAACTTTGAATGATACCTATTTACATAGATATAAAAATATAAAAGCACACGTTTCCCATATACATATATGAAAGATATATGTACATGTATGATAGTAAAAATCTAATTTTTAAAGAATCATGGAGGCTTATCTTACAGAAATCCATTTGTAAGAAAAAGTGAAGAAAGCCTTAAAATTCATTGACAAATTCTCCTCTTTCTCTGCCACCTATACTTCACAAAACTCCTGCATACGTCCACAGTAACACCCAATGGCATCTCAACACTACACTTTTCCAAAAAGTAGATGCCAACCTACTTTGTTATAGATTCAAGAAAAAAAATAACATCTGCCACGCACTGTGCTCAGCATGGGGAATTACAAACAGATGTAGAGAATAATTGCCCTCAAGGAGCTTATATTCTAATGGTGGAGGACAACACATAACAGAAAGATGAAAAGGCGAGGGTAGTGAAATGAGGGGAAGAGACCAAGGCATATAGGATATAATAGAGAAAGTCCAAAGTGCAGCCTGCAAAGATATGAGGCATGGTTGATTGGGGCAGCCTCCCTAAATAGAGGCTCTGGGAGCTGAGAGAGAGAGAGAGAGAGAGAGCTTCCAATGTGTGGATAACAAGGCTGGAGTGAGGCTTCAGGATGAAGAGCTAGGGCATGGTAAGGCTTCAGAATGGTAGAGGAAGTCTGGAACACAGCCTAGAGAAGAATCAGAGGATCCATTTTGTATATTCCTGAGATATTTGCCAACTTTTTTCACTCAGTAACCCCTCTCTTTCTGATTCTGAGACACCCAACTAGAATAACTAAAATATATTTAGATGGCATTTCACATTTTACACATTGTTTTCCTCACAATGTAAGAAGTACATACAGCAAGTTAACTTATTAAGCCTACTACGTGCCAGGCACTGTACTAGGTAGATGCAAAAAAAGGTAATCCTCCCTTGGAGGAGGGGCTTGCAATCTATTATTATTAGCATTTTATAGACCACGAAGATCTGAGGAGGATCTGAACAGGCTAAGTGATTTGCCCATAAATATACATCTAGTCAGTGTCCAAGGTAAGACTGAAAGCCAGCTTTCCAGACTCCAGTTCCAGCAATCTCTCTGCCTTTCTTTCTCCCACATAGCCTATTGCCATATTTCTGCAAGCCTCAAAAGTGGATAATAGCATCCAATGTGGATAGATAAAAAGTGAAAGAAAAAAAATCACTTTGACTCAACCTTCATTTCATTTGTGTAGATAGCTCTTGGTGAGGAAATCCCTCTATCATGTCAAAAACTTTGAATTAAATTTCTTAAGTAAAACACACCTTAAGAGTAAAGATTCAAGAACAATATAAATGCTTTATCCATAGCAGACTAAGGCACTTCAAAGTCCTTAGGCAAGAGAAATAATAGCAGAAATTTGGGGCATAAGGCTGCAGGTGGATATGCTACTTTTCCACAACTTAACCACACTTCCCAGACTCAGCATCAGTCCTAAATCAGACATTGATGTGTGCAATTACCAATATAACCTTACTTAGTTTTTAGTCTTTACCACCTTTGTGTATTTTTTAAAATCAGTACAAATGAAAAGCCATACACCAAAGTTCAGAGAATGAGGAGAATAAAGTTAGATTTTATAAACAATAAAAGGTTAAAGAGACATGAGCTGCTGAGAACAGAGTCCCAGAGCTGGAAAAGGTGTTAACATAATTATTCTAAACCTAGTTTTGTAACTCCGTGGAACGTCATCAAGTTGCTTGTAAGGTTTCTAAAAAGTCTCCATTTCCCTATCCTAAAGAATGTCAACTTACTTTAATTTATAACAAAATATCTACTACCTACATACCTTTTTAAGTTAACTTATTAAGCCTACTACTTGCCAGGCACTGTACTAGGTAGATGCAAAGAAAGGTAATCCTCCCTTGGAGGAGGGGCTCGCAATCTATTATTATTAGCATTTTATAGACCACGAAGATCTGAGGAGGATCTGAACAGGCTAAGTGGAAATAAACATTTTTCCACATAAAAATGTGGAAAGGGATATGCATAAGAACAAACAAATTCTACAGTTAAATTTCAAGAGTACCCCTAATGATGAATTCATGAATTCTTGAAGTATTGATGTGTGAGCAAGATATGTGAAAATATGTTCATTCTGAAAGAGCTTTTTTGAATTCTGTTCCTTGGTTTATATTCAAAATATATGAGACAATGAAAAAATTCAAATAAGAATTTTCTTATTAATAATCAATACACAAAACTCATACACACAAATATATCAATGAGGTAGATGGCTATGTCAGTTACAGAAAATGACTAGGCCTCTTTTATGGTTGACACCATGGAAATTCTTCTCTAAAATGTTTTCCTTCTGCACCCAGTGTGTGAACACATTATGTTCAAATAAGAAATTAATTATAAGCCTTGGGTGCCTTGAGGAATCTAATACAGCATTTCAAGCACCCTTAAGTATACAATAAAAAATAACCTGTGGGTTGTGATTTCAGTGAATAAAATAATTTCTGCAGTTACACAAAGAAAGGCTGAATAACAATAATACTTTGCATTTGTATATTCTTTTATAGCTTAAAAACTGATTTCTTCCGCATTGAACCTAATAATAACCCATTAAGATAGATTGGGTAGACATTATTATTTACATTTAACAGATAAGGAAACTGAGGCTCAGAGAAGTTAAGATCAGCCCAAAGTCACCTGGCTATGAAGTAGAGAGCACAAATCCTGATAACTATTAAAATGTGTTTTTTTCATTATTTCACACTACCTCATCTAGAACTTTTAACCCATAAGCACCAAGAAAAAACAGTGTTTTTTCCTGTACCAAATTACCTGCAAGCATTTTATTTCCCAGTCTTTACTTAGCACAGTGTCTGGCATATAGTAGGTAATTAATAAAAGCTTATTGACTGACCTATTGACTTTTAAGTGAATTCTGGTAAGAGATATCTTCACCAAATATGCAAAACCCAAAGTAGCCAAATTCTTTCTGAAGACCCATATAGAAGTTCAGACTAGAAGGACATGTTAAAATTAAAATTACGTATCTGAAAAGATTTTCTGTAAACAAGACAAGACAATTCTGTTAAAAAAAAAAAAAAGCATAAAGGCAAGTCTGGTGAGACCTGTCCTAAAAAAAAGATCACCTCTCTAAAAGCATCTCCTTCACATTGCTCAAGACCCAACTGGAATACAGGCTAATTAATGTCTAGCATATACAAAAAAATCCAACCATTAGCAAATTTATAAATAAGAATTTCTAATGTCTTGTTCTTTTAAAAAGGACTCCCCCGCGTAGCTTAACGCTCTATTTCAATTTACTATCAGTATTTTTTTAATAGCAGTGAAGTACAGTTCATGATGAGGAATTGTCAGGTGTGAAATGATTTTTATAAATTTATAGAAATTGAAACAAATCACAATTTATTGGCAGCTACTAATAAATAAAATGAATGCAGGAGACTAGTTCAAATGATTAATCTTAATGCCAGACTCATAAAACTAAACCCTAACATAAGAACTCACTGGTAAGTCATAACTCTTCCCACCTGGGCAAACAGAACTTCTTTTGTGATGACTGAAAGACCCATAATCAACTAAAAACCTTAAGTCCTAATGAATTTGCCACTTGAAAACATGATTATAGCTCCACCTATTTGTACTGGTGTAATCAAAATATTTATGTTTTAGTCAGGAATTGCTAAATAAACTTACAATTTATAAATATATCATATGGTTATAATTTGTATATGTATATATTTATAAAGTTATGTATTTATAATTTGTGCATTTATATATTATAATTTATAAATATGTATTTTGTATATTTTATATGTAAATATAAATTAATAATTTATAGTAACTACTAATTGCTCTTTAGACAAGATCAGATAATAGGTGTGATCTGAGGAGTAGAAAAATGTAAAGGTATATCCAAAGAACACTAGGAATATTTAAGAAGAGAAACTAACTTTTTTTAAAAATAGGAAAACATACCATTTTCAATTTTGCTTTTGGGATGTGGTCCACTAAACGCTAAAAATTTTCCTGGAACAATCCAATTGAAGTCACCATTTTCAACCCGCTGTGAGAATTTCAAAAGAGAAAGAAAGAAAAGCACTGAACAACACTTGAACAGCAATGGAGAAAGTCATTAGTGAATAAAATTGCTTTTGAGTTTATTTTCTGTATGAAGTTGATAAACTATGCCGTCATGTGAAATTAAAACTACATTAACTTCAAAAATGTACATGCGACCCAGAGTACACTCACTCACTTAGCAGCATGCTTCACAAACATTTCTACAAGTATATTAAGTTCATAGGATTTCATGTAAAATAATTTAACTCAAAGGTCCTGTCCCTCTCCACCCTCCTGACACAAAAAAAAAAATCCCCTATAAATTCATTAAAAAAAAGATTTGCTATCACTAATTGAAATAGTATCTCTACTGAATTTTGGTGATTTGAAGGCGGCTAATACACACAAACAAAAAGAAACACATACTATATCCTAGGTTTGTTTATTATTTTTTTTCTCTTAACTCAGCCTAAAAGTAGATACAGATCTACTATTTCTTTATTATCCAGGAATAGATTATTTAGGTTGTAAATTATCCAGCTCTTTACTCCTCTCCTTTCTCTTTTTTCCTGTTCATTAGTAAGTCAATCCACTAGAGGGTGCCAGGACAAAAGAAAATTCTAAAATCATAAAATGTTAGAGTACTTATTCCAAGTTTCTTAATTTAGAGATGAGGACACTGATAAAAAGACAAGACTATATGACTTACCAAGGTCCCACATAGCAATGTGCTATGTGGCAGAAATGAAGCTACAACTCAGATCTCCTTACCACTATAATTCAACTTACCAATTACAAGTTCTGGGAAAAGATTTATTTTTAAAATTAATGTCAAAAAGCATTTGGAGGGATATCTATTTTAATAATGTATATTATCTTTATCACCATCTCTAAATGGCCAAAAACTGACTGACCACATTTCGCCTTAAAGATGGGTCACTGGGGTATCTTATATAGATAATGTCTGCCTACAATTTATTACCTTGTGGTTTAGAGACACCTTTCCAAAATATCCTCAATAAAATTTTAGAAAGATTAAAGTTATGATTACTACCATTAAATTAAATCTTACAGGCTGGGGTTGCCCATTTTACTTCATTTGAACATTTCATTAGAAACAGCTCTTTTAACTACTGAAATAGTTCTTTTAGTAAAATATGGTCTTAAACCAACATTGTTCAAATGTTCTCAAGAGTTAAAAATTATAGGACTTGTCAAAACTATCGATAACAGGAAGAAGAAATTTTTTTCTGTTTTAAAAATTATGAATGCTTCCAATCTTAATGTAGTTTAAGCACCTTTTCTAAACTTGTGATGTGTTAGCTGGACATCATTTGTAAAGACTTTTAACATATTTGATATAAATAGCACAGAGATCAATATGATCATAATTCGTGAGAAGTGTTAGCCCACATCTATAAAAATTTAATCCTTATACATTAAATGACACTAACCATTTTTCCATTTCCAACCCACAAATACAAACATGGAAAATAATTTTTTAAAAGTTGGGATTTATAATCATGTACCACTCTATATATGTTTAATAATGCTAAATAATGCTAAAAATTTTTTAAATATATTTTTAAAAAGCACCAAACTTCAATAATGGATGATAATTGGTTTCTTTGTCCAAGACTTATGCACACTTGTGAAATATGTTTACTACATGCATATCAGTATAAATATGACTCTAAATCTATATATTTTGGTCATTTAGTTTAATTTAAAATAACCATCATATACAAAGAGAAAACGTGCTTATCAAGATATATATTCACTCCTTAAGATAAAAATAACTGATCTGTCTAAGTAAAAATATAGACAGTACTTATATTGGGCTAATTTTAGTAGCTAAAAGGAATCTGATATAGCGAACAAAGAAAATCAATATTCAGAGAGAGGATTTTCTTCTCGAAAAAATTAACATCAGAAGCTATAGCTACAGCTAAAATTATTCAATTCAAGCCTACTTTGGTTATCTTGCAAAATTCAATAGATATGAAGTCACAAAATCTGGGTGCTAATCCTGGCTCTGCTGCTAGTAAGCTGCAGTTATAACCTTAGTTAAAAACTTTCAGGCCTCAATTTCCTCATCTATAAATTTCAAAAGCTTCATGATCACGACATGAGAACAAATTCCCAAGAAAACTAAGTATATGCAACATTGGGAGCAACAGACTGAGAATCTGTAGACTCAGGCTTGAATCTTTATTTTGTCATCTTCTGGTGGATGAATCAATTAATTATCAACCATCAATGAAATGCCACAAAATGAGTTAGTTTGGAGCAGTGCTGGACCAGATGCCATCTCATGGAATATTAAAAGCCAAAGCCCAGAGGAAAGTGGGTTCAAATCCAGGCTTTGCTACTCTTCGGGTCACTTCAGCTCCTGTATCTCTGATTCTTCTATAAAATAATCAGGTTTAATCAGAGGACATTCAAGATCCTTCATATCTCTGAATCTACGGTTGTAGGATGTCGAGAATTTCTTCCAGCTCTAACATGGCTTTATATCTTCATTCTGACTAAATTATGCTAAATGTAAACAGTTACTGTTGTAACTAAATGTAAACAGTAAACTCTAAACATAAGAGTTAAGATCACTGACTGACTTATCTAATTAGCTGTATCTTTCTAAGAAATCTAGGCCAAACTGGAATTAAAAGGTACCCCAAAGAATTATTTTTGTCAAATGCCTAAATCAGAGAAAGGCAAAAAAAAGTAATATGCTCAAAAGAAATCATATAATCAATACCAAATAATGTCACATGACTACTCATAAGCCTCCTTCTAAGAAAACTCAATAATCAAACCTCTGATTTACAAGAATGACAAATTAGGGTTTATCTTTTACTATAAAATGTGATTCTTCATTTTGTAAAACCATTTACTACAAATTTGTTTTTTAAAAAATTCCCTACCTGTTAAATTTAAAACCAAGTTTTACACTCAACTTTTCAGAAACTCACCTATTCTGTAAAGTGAAGACTGTACTCTCATAGTAATACATACACTTTCTCCATTCAAATGTGACCAGTCTATCTCTGCCTTCTTAGTACAAACAACTACAAATAGAACTTGTCTTCTACACCAAGTGTGATCTAAAAAGTTCACAGGATCTCAATGAGATCATGGATTTAAAAGCACGAGATCATTGGAAAACATTCGATTTAAGTATAAATTGAAATCTATGACTATGATAGTTTAAAATGCAATATGGAAACTCACTACTTTAAATTACATCATAAATTTTCTTATAAAGTGATGGAATCCTTTTGTAATTTAAACCATATCTACATACTGTGTTTACTTCAAAAAGGATAAACCTCACCTACAGCATGGCCAAGAACTAAAATCTTGGTTTCAGAGAAGACTTTTAGAATAGTGGCCGTTTTTTCTTTGTTAAATCTTATAAGGAGGGCTCAACAGGGCTAACTTATTCTAAGAACACTTTAAACTCACCCAAATATTACAAGTTATACATTCTAGCAAGAAAATAAAAATCTAATGAGTCCAAGAAAAGAAGTGTCTGGTCTCCCTCCTACTATGATCTTTTAAGTTACATTATTTCCTACAACATGACCTTACTTTAGAAATCCTCTGCCTAATACACATATACATGTTTGTTTGTGTGTGTGTGTGTGTGTGTGTGTGTGTGTGTGTATCAAAATATGTATACCAAGCTTCTACCACTTTGTGAAAGTGTCCAGGGGATAAATTCCCAAGGTGAGTGTGCAGTATGCAGTATTGAGAACACCACACTGAGGAAGCCTAGGCTGTAATCCCCACACTGCCACCAATTGGCTACATAACCATGAGCTAGTCATTTAACCTGTCTAGGCCACATCTATTAAAAAAAGGGGGGGATGGGGTGGAGAGAGTGGGAGATTTAATTTAAGAAACATGAATTAAACACCTCCTATGTGCAAGGCAATGTGTTGGCCTGAGGAGGTATAAAGACAAAAATAAAAGCAATCCCTGTCCTCAGAGAGCTTACATTCTACTGAACAGTTGAACTAGATGACTTCTAATGTTCCTTCATTATATGATTCTATAAGAGTCTGAACTATTACAAAAAATACACTATATTAATAGGAAAGAAAACAGAAGGGAGAGAAAAGAGAAATTACTGACTCTTAATTAACCCAAATAATTCCACCACTGTTTTATCAATATATACTCTATGATTTCATTCTACCACAATATATAACCTCAACTATGCTCCCACTGGCATCGAGCAATACTTCTAGACCAATTTGAATAACTCATATTCAAGAGGTTAAATGAGCAATTTTCAAAACAAACTTGCGACTGAGTCTAAAGGTAAACATATTACACAACGTCCAACAGCATAAATAAAAGTGAGAGTGCCCCCTCCCTGTCTTTTCTTAAATCACACCAGACTACAGTACCAAGGAGTAATATCAGACTACAGTATAAAGGAGTGACAAAAAGGATCTATTTGCATCTGCTAAACTTTCCCTTTGTTCCACTAAAAACGTACTTAATTTTAACAAAGAAACTAAATTTATATGTGAAACGTTACAAAATTTTACAAACCTCATAATGTTCATATTCTTCCACATCAAAGGACTCAAAGTCAAAAAACCCATGCTGCAATCCCTGAAAGACAGAAATCAAATTAGTTTTTCTCCGCTATAAAGACTAATAACTAACATTCAGAATTATTTTCCTTCACCTCAAGTTTCAATGTCACTTGAACGATCCTAATTTAGTAAGAAAATGTTTAAAAGTCTTCGATATTTAACTTAGATCTAGAAATTAACTTCCCAATACTGGTATTTGAGATGAGGTTTATTGTATTATTTCAAAGACCTGACTATTTTGAGAAACATTGAAACATGCCCCACAAAAATCATCCAAAGTTCATATTCATATGTGGTTTATTTTCATGAATAACTAGTCTTCCAAATCTCAACATATACTACCATATTCATGCTTCGATCACAGAATACCATATTCATGCTTAGATCACAGAAGGGGCATAACATCATTAATTCATACATTATCTATCCTGGTGCTTCAATTCCGAAAAAAAAAATTTTTTAATTGATGCTAGAAAGAATTTTTTAGCATGAATTTCTTTTTTTTTTTTTTTAGCATGAATTTAGCAGGGAATGAATTTCTCCTAAATGGTGCCTCATACTGTTTCTACAACCACATTTTGGGAGAAGTTATTTCTTATTGATTATCCTCTTAGCAGTGAGTTTTTGATGGCATAAAAAATTGAAAGAATTTGACTGAGAAGGAAAAACTAGTTTAATCCATCTGGAAAATGTTAAAAGACTAACTGTGGTAACTTGATAACCTGAACTTTTTGCAAACCAACTCACTGAAAACTCATTTCATGGGAGGACATAGGGTATTTTCTATGTATAAAAAAAAGCAATGTGAATTGCAAAGGAAAAACACAACAGGCACTTGAAAAGAAAAAAGATAAATAAAAAGCGAAATAAAATCACATCTAAAGCTATTAAAAATGAGGAGTGAGTATGGAAAATGACCAAGTTAAGCTTCTCATCTACCCTGTAAAAATACCTACTTACCAATCACTCCAAATAGCAAAATAAACAGGAGTTAAGTTATTTTAATTCTCTCACGTTTAAATAAACCAACCAAGTTCATCTGTATGCACAATGCCAAGAAACTACCGAAGGGGAAAATACCATCGACACAAATTAACTTTTCCATTTCTCTTCTTTTCAATTAAAAGTAAAAACATATTAGCAACTCATGATCAGAGATTTAGAGTTGGAAAAGATAGTAAAGGCCCACTTAGTCCAAATCCCTAATTTTACAGATGATGAAACTGAAGCCTAGATAAGTTAAATAATTTGCCCCAGGTCACACAGGTCATTTATTAGTAAGTGGAAGAGCCAATTGGGACTCAAATACACAGGTGCTCTGAAAATAACTTCAGCTGTATTTCTAGTACAACTCAAAGTGAAATTTTAAAGGAATCAAATCCAGAAAATTATACTATGTAATTTGACCATCATGTGATAAACACGTACATGTATGTCCACATTTGCATTTACGTACTTTGGTAAATATACACATATTTTATGGAGCCTTCTCACTGATGGGGTTGGAATCTGAGCCCCAGAAAGGAAAAACTCTGGCCCCAGAACATTTCCCACCCTTGGTAATTCTATTACCTCATGGACTCTGTACTTTCCCACATGGCCAAATCTCTGGCAGCTACGGTCCCATCAACTGGTCTTTCATTGTGGCTACACCCAATCTCCCCTCTATTGTCTTGCCTCCCTATGGCCCCAGGCCACTTCCCACCCTGGGTCCCACCTAGGCTCCATTTCCCACCCTTGAGAATTCTATTACCTCATGGACTACTTGGCCACTCCCCCAGAGTCTTTCTGTATATAAGGTCCATTTTGTCTCCATTAAGATGCTCAGATTTTTACAATCTAGTCAATAGCCCATAGATGCTCAGACTCCTTAAGAGTCTAGCCAATATGGCGAATCTTCAATAAACTTTGTTTTTGGCTGCAAGAAGGCTTGGGTCAAATTCTTTCGGGCGGGACCTGCGTGTTGTGATTTTGGGGTCCCAGCACCCCTGAACGCCTAAACCGCATCATTTTGGTGGCCCATATGGGGAAACTGCCTAACCCCAAGTTCTTCTCCAGCCAAGACTGGAAGGTATGTAAGGCTCCTCCCTCCCCTCCCTTTCTTGCTCTGCAGTTGGGGTCGCTCTCCAAGCACCAAGGCTTGGAGGCGCTTTTCTGGCAGACAGTTACGAGGCTGCCTCGCACTCGGCCTGATGCTTTCAGGCTCTCAGTCCACGGGGTCGGTTTGAGGCCATGGACCTGGGTACACCTTTCACAGCATATAGGACAAGGATGGACACCCTATTCAGGAATGTATCTGTGAATTCCCTCGGCACTAGGGAATTGGGGGAAACTGCAGTTGCTTTTTGGTTCCCTGAGGCTTACTTACTCCCTTCCCTCTGCACCTCTGAATCCTCCTTCATGGAGGTTACAGGGGAAAGTTAGAACAGCTAAAAATATCTTGGCATATTCTGGAGGTTTTGTGACTGATCATTAAGGAGTTTAGAACTCCTCCTTACAACCCTGGTCACTCTTTTCTTCCACTCCCTTCGCTTGAGTACTTTTGATTTCACCCTCCCCAACCTGGGGAAAAGGAAGGAGGGGGAGGGGCAGCAGCTACAAAGCATGGGCCCCCCTGGCAATGGCCTTGAGCTCTGGGGCAACCTTTGCCTGGAAGCATCACCCAGGTTCAGCACATCCTGCTCAAGGTAATGAAGCTAGCCTCCAAACTTGGGTAAGCATGCTCTTTTAAATTTGTAGTTGTAACTGTTAACAATGAGATGTTGATTCTCTGTGTAAAGTAATTTGGAAGTGCATTTAACAAAACTGAAGTCACCTGATTGGTAATGGGTTTGTTTCAAGTTTCAAATTGGTGAACTTTCTTTATCAGTTATGTCAAACAGCTTCTCATAATTTGATTACCACTAAAATAATTCAGCTATTGTTGGTTATTGTTTTAATGTGTAAACTTGAAAAAAACTTGTTTGAGTTTCATATAGAAATCTCTAATGACTGGCTTTTTACACCAGGACAAATTTAAGTTTGAGATGTAAATCCTGGAAGTTTTTCCTAAGCTGTGATAGTAAAACTTGCTGTTTGAGGTAAAAGCTCATAGGCTGAATCCAAACAGAGTTAAGGATGTTTTATCATCTCAAAGTTGGGCCCTAAATCTGGGCCCTGCAGTCTTTTCTGTCAGATTTGTGTCTTCCAGACTACAGGCCATTCACCTACAGTTGGTAGCAAACAGCGAGTACCAGCCAATGTCTCTACTTCGTTCCCTGAATGCAGCCTGTGCTCAGTTCCAGTCAACCTCCTCTTTGGGACCACCTTGAGGCAGGGACAGCTCTACGCCCCTTGCCAGCAGGAAGTAGTTTCGGAAGCTGAGACCTTCGCCCCTTACCCCAAAAGAATTTGGGTTCCTATTTGTTTGAGGGGGGAATGATGGGGTTGGAATCTGAGCCCCAGAAAGGAAAAACTCAGGCCCTGATGGGGTTGGAATCTAAGCCCCAGAAAGGAAAAACTCTGGCCCCAGAACATTTCCCACCCTTGGTAATTCTATTACCTCATGGACTCTGTACTTTCCCACATGGCCAAATCTCTGGCAGCTATGGTCCCATCAACTGGTCTTTCATTGTGGCTACACCCAATCTCCCCTCTATTGTCTTGCCTCCCTATGGCCTCAGGCCATTTCCCACCCTTGAGAATTCTATTACCTCATGGACTACTTGGCCACTCTCCCAGGGTCTTTCTGTATATAAGGTCCATCTTGTCTCCGTTAAGATGCTCAGATTCTTAAAACCTAGCCACTGCTTAGATTCTTATAATCTAACCACTGCTTACCCATGTTCAGATTCCTTAAGAGTCTGCCCAATATGATGGATGTTCTAATAAACCTTGTCTTTGGCTGCAAGAAGGCTTGGGTCAAATTCTTTCGGGCAGCACCTGCGTGTTGTGATTTTGGGGTACCAGCACCCCTGAACCCCTAAACCGCATCATCACTACTTTGTAAACAGAGCAGGAAATGGTGTTTGATGTTGCACTCACAGTATGGGCAACAGGCCTCTATTGCTGCAGAGCTACTGAACAACCTAATCTCATTTCATTTAACCTCTCAATTTGATGTCCATATTAACTTTGAAAATACACAGTCTGTAAGGAGACCCTATGAATGAAGCTATCGCTTTCCTTTGGAAGGTAAACAATATAACAAATGCCTGGATCGGGTTACTGTCACTATATAAACAAACAGAAACATTCCAAGGTGAACTCATCCTGAAATATACATTCGGTACAAGGCATGTCCTATCTGCCCCTAGGTGTTGAACTTTATCAGTTTTTTAAGGTTACACTCAACAGAATATTAAATTGAAGTTCTCTTATAATTCTATCCAAAGGCCTTTAGTTGGGTTCACTGAAATGTGTAAGTGTGTATGTACATATATATGTATGTGTTTTAACAAATAAATAAGAAACTGTCTAAGGGAAAAATGTTTCCAAGTAGCTATCTCAGGATCTAGATGAGGTTTACCATGTGGAGAGAGGGCCAGCCCTGGAGTAGCGAAGACCCAAATTCAAGCCCTTTATCTTACCCAGGGTTGTGTAAAAGCTCTGTGACTATGGGAAAAATTCCCAAACCTTTAAGCAGTGCTCCAGACAATCAACCTAAAGTACAAGATCTTCATCAGTAAAGGGATTTCCTAAATAGCAAAACCCTCACATCAAGTAAAACCACTGATCAAAACATCAGGGTTTATTTAAATGTGTGCCTTGACTTTGCCCTTACTAATGAGGGAAATTATTTGTTATTATTTACTGTATGTTGAGCTATTTTCCAAATGTAAACATGTAATACAGTGCAGCTTTTTAAAAAGTCACTTTCCTGAGGAGAGGAAACAGAGGAAAGTGCCATGGGAATGTAAGAGCCTAGACAAAGAGCTGAAAAGGATCTCAAAGGCCATTGAGTTCACCCTTCTCATTTGACAGATGAGGAAACTGAGGCCCAGGGAAGCTAAGGAACTCATCCAAAGATACTTCTGACACCACAAATTTCACTGGGAATTTAATTAGCTGTTAATTTGGGGAATTTTTCCATCTTGCAGCATGGTATTAATAGAAATTATTTTCTATCAACTATTCATATACCCTTGTCATATTGTTTTAAAAGGGTTATATGCCTGATTTCTGGTCTCTTTAAATATTCCAGAGTTGAAGATTCTGTATTTATTCCACCATGGGAACAGAACAGCTCTTAATAAAAGTTTTACACTTTGGACTGGACTGTTGTACAGCACATCCCTGACAGTGCTTTTCCTTTACTCCTATTAAATGCTATAGCTTTAATGGTATAATTTATTTTTGCTTGTGAAATAAATACATGAATGAGAAGGAAAAAAAAAGAATAGGAACAAATATTCCTAAAAGCACAATGGAATGGGCTAGGAGGTGGATGAATTGGGTTGGAATGTTTTCGTAAGTAGAACAAAATTAATTTGAACAAAAAAGTAAGACTTTAGAAGGAGTGAGTAAAGGCAGGCAACTCTTGCCTCAAAAGTATCTAAAACTGAATGATTTAGATTGGGTAATTAGTATGATTGGAGTAGCAGATTGGCAGTAGGTTGGGAAAGGAAGAAGAAAAGGAAATATTCATTTAACAAAAATTTTTAAATAGAGGAATTTTAAGAGGTAACTGAACTCAAAATTCTAAATGGTACATGGAACACCAGTGTTTCAGAGTTATAGAATACTATAAGACATCAGCCCAATGAAAGGTTACTGAACTTCTGGATAGAAATGATGAGAGGCCTACATGAAATCTCATCTGTCAGGCAGCATCCTCAGAAGCCATCTACTCCAACCTGGCACCTGAACAGAAATCCCCTCGAGAACAGGGTCAGCAAATGGTTAACCAGAGTGCATTTAAGAGCCTACAAAGAGGAAGACTCTATTACATCCCAAGGCGGCCCATTGTACTCTTAAACAGACAAAATTATTTAAGAAGTTTGTGCTTACATCAATCCTAAATCTAACTCTCTGCAGTATCCACCCATTGTTTCTACTTGTTGCCGCTAGCGCCAAGGAAAATAAATCTAATCTCCAAAGGAGACTAAATCTAATCCTACATGACAGCCATTCAAATACCTGGGGAGGCTATCATGTTACCTCTAACTTGTCTCTTCTTCCCATTAAATCTCCTCAGTTCTCTCAACTGATCTGCATACATCATGTTCTCCAGTCCCCTTACCATACTAGCTGCGATCTTCTGGAAACAATAAAATTGGTCAATGTCCACCTTTGAATGCAATGTCCAGAAAGCATCACCATATAGCAGATATGGCCAAACCAAAACATTTACAGCAGAACTTTAATCTCCTTTGTTATAGATATTATGTCTCTACTGATGCAATTCAAAACATTAGATTTTTTGGCTGCAATACCACACAATTGACTCACACTAAGCTTCAAGTCCACAAAACTCCTAATTTACAAACATTTCCCTTTATTACTTTATCCTCCTTCATGTTTCCTTATAATGCGTAACAATAAAAGTCTTAAAAAAACTAAACTAAGTTGTATGTTGCCTTCAGAGAGCAATGAAGGAGAGAAACTGAAAGACTACATATTATATTACAGTAAAATCTCACTGGCAAAGAGTCCAAATCAAAAGAGAAGGTGATATTACTGAGGAACCAGCAGCATACTGGTAGAAAAAGAGGGGGTTGGGCAGCAGGAGCTAGAGAGATCAAAACATCAAGTATTTTAAAAAAAGATCCATAAGGAAGGAAGAAAGGAATGATATGGTACAGTAGGCTGGTGGTCGTACAAAACTAATAATATTTCTAAAAGCAATAATGATAACTGACGTGTGTTTGAGGGGAGGAGGTCTTTAAGATTTACAAAGCATTTTGCATAATTTGAAAAATTTCACTCAACATACAGCAAACTAATCAAATAACCAAATTTATCATAACTCAAAATACACCAGGATTAGAATATTGCTGTGTATGACTTGAAAAGAAACTTTAGGAAAAAAAAAAAATACAGATTGTGATATGATAAATTTAATACTGCTCCCCAGAACAGAAGCTGTTGCTATATTCTATTCCTTATAATTTCCTCAATAAAACATAATGACATATAATTTGCTTTAAAAGAATTCATGGCATGGCTTGTACAACAACTAACACTGCTACCAAAATGTATTAGCATGGGAATGCATCCTGGAAATTCTCCAGCAAGAGGGTGGCAGGCTGTGGCCCTGTGCTTTCCAGCATTTTTGTCAATGACTCCAGTGGTGTAGGCCCTAGTCCAAGCAAATTTACAGAGAACTCACAGATTACAAATAAAATTAACATACTGAATTGAAAAGTCAGATCCAAAAGGAAGGAGAAAGTCGGACTTAATCTAATAAAATGAAATTATAAAATAGGGCCACATGTAAACCTCAAGTTTCTCATCTATATTTATACATCTGTAAAATGCATGAAGGGAACTAGATGATCTCTAAACTCGAAAATCCTATGATGTTAACAGTTGAGCGTAATCACTTCCATAACAGGAGACAGAACCAAAATGAGATGCAGCATCATAGCACCATTAAAAGAAGGCCTAGGGGCAATTTTTCATACTTGTATGGGAATTTGCCTCCCTTTAGAACATTTTATTATGGAAAACTCAAGATAAGGAATATCAAACTAGTATTCTACTGCCTTTGACCTCCTTACAATTCCAAATCCTATTCTGAGCCACTTACTCAGATTAACATGTAATCAAATTAACAAGTCTTCCTAAAAAAAAGAACTTACATAACAATACTGCAAACAGATGAGGGATAAAGTTTGCAACAAACAGGCAGTTTGATTCTGATACCATTGTTCAGAAACTAAGAAGAGAAATAAGGAAGATAAACACATTCTAATTAAGAGGGAGGAACAGAGGTATTCATGATTCACAAATAATTTACATTTACTAGAGGATCAAGAGTTGAAAGCTGAAAGGCACCTTAGGCATCACATAACCCAACTTCTTCATTTTACAGAGCAGAAAGCTAGGGTCCTAAGCTAAGTAGTGACACAGTGGTAGTACCAGGCCTCAAAAACCTTAGTCACAGGGTCTCTGACTCCCAATCCAGTATTCTTTCCTTGGTACCTACCACATCATAGATGTTCTTTTTTACTGTTATTCATGTCAATTTCCTGGTTCATGCTTGACTAAAGCCCTTAGTGACTCTCAAACACCAAGAATCAATTGAATGAAAAGGAAATATAAAGACAGAATAAAAGCCTCTGAGCCTCAGTTTCCTCATCTATAACATAAAGGGATTTTACAAAATTATCTCAAAAGATTCTTTCCATCTTTAACAGCCTACAGTTCTATGGTTTCCATATACCAGGCAATACAGAGGACAAAGGCAATAAATCATAAGTCCAAGCCAGATCTTAAAGAGTCAGGCAGAGAACAGTCCCTTCTACCTTCTTTTAGATGTCCATGAAGGGTATCATCCATGTCTAGGGGAAATAAAATGTTTCAAGATTCCTCTCCTAGATGCTGAGTGAAGTGAGCAGAACCAGGAAAACGCTGTACACCGTAACAGTCACGTTGTGCGATGACTAATATTGATAGACTTAGCCCTTCTCAGCAATGCAAGGATCTAAGACATCTCCAAAGGCCTCATGATGGAAAATGCTATCCACATCCAAAGAAAGAACTATGGAGTTTGAATGCAGATCAAAGCATTCTATTTGCTATTTTTTTTTCTTCTGTTGTGCTTTGTTTCCTCTTTCTGGTGCTTCCTCCTATTGGTTCTAATTCTTACTTACAATATAACTAATGTGAAAATATGTTTAATAGAAATGTATATGTATAGCCTATGTCAGATTGCATGCCATCTTGGGGAGGGGGGAGGAGAGAGAGGGGGGGAGAAAAATTTAAAACTCAAAAGCTTATGGCAGTGATTGTTGATAAATCAAAATAAATTAGTTTTAAAAAAAAAGATAAAACACAAGGTTAAAAAAAAAAGATTCCTCTCCTAGACTTGTACAAATGCTAACACTGTATAAGGGAAGAACTTCCTTCTGCTTGCTGAATCAGTCTACTAAAGAAACACTTTCTTCTCCTCAATTTAAACAAGTTTGTCATTTTCATTCTTTGCACATGCTGAAACAATTTTTTTTTGTATTTTTATATTTTAAATCACTCTATATCAACCATTTAATTGCAATGAGGGTTGTTTTTACCTTCCTGATTCCCTGCAAACAGTCCAGGATTGTGAGATTGTATGTACAATTTCCGAAGGAAGCATCCCTATAAATATAAATGAAATGGATATTAATCATACATTTAGAAAATTCAAGGAAGAAAATACACAACACATAAAAATGGATATTTATTCCTGTTCATGTTTTGTGAATGTGGGAGCTTTCTCTAATAGAATAGATGCTGCTAGGTATGTTCCAAAGTCTAAGATTTCTGTTTCTGAAGTTCAATCAATTATCTGTCGTCCATATTAAGATGAAGTTTATTTCTTGAGGAATCAACATGATTTAAATAGAAAAAGTCCTCGAGTCGGAGTCAGAGGCCTGACCAAGGTTTGCATCTTGGCTTGGTCACTTACTCCATAACCTTAAGCAAGTTATTTCCCTGCCTTCATCTTCTTCATCTATAGAATGAGGCAAGATGACTTCTAGACCAACCTTTATTAGGATCCTAGACTTAAAGCTGGAAGAGACTGCAGAGCCATGCCACATTGTACAGAGAAGGAAACTGAGGACAAAGAAAGGGAAGTAACTTGACTTACACACACACTCAGAGGTGGCATGTGGACCCAGGCTCTCTGACTCTAAAGCTTTTCTGCTCTTCTCCAGCTCTAAATCCTATGACTCTTAAAGGAGGTCTTACTATCTCATCGAGGAGACATTTAAATGGGAGGGAGGGCAGGGAAGAGAGAGGCTGACTACTGAAGGTCAGTCAGAAGCATTCAATCAAACAACTAGCAAGTCGGAAGTTTACTACCAACAGTCTACTACAACTCAAATGTTCTCAGAATCATTCCATGGTGTATTCCAGGAACACAGTAAGCCCGAACTAGGAGATACAGGGGGCCACTCTTGGTCTGGAGGAGAATTATCTGGCACCTTACCAGTTCCTGAATACCAAGAAGGAGGAGAGAGAAAAGCAACATCCTTTCTTTAACCCTAGCAACCCATTTTCCTCATGGACACAAAAGCAGAGAGTAAATTTACTAGCCCACAGTAATCTCATTTGCCTTTGGATCCTATCCCATGGCAAACAGGGGAATCTTCCTCCCTAGTTCTTGACATTGACAATGTGTTCAGGAGGGCAAGCAGTATAGTGCAGGATCTGGAGATCATACCACATAAGGATCAGTGGAAGAACCTGGGGGTGTTGTTACAGCCCACAGGGGTGAACTATGGGTGGAACAACATCATTATTTCCAAGTATCCAAGGAGTTATCTCGTAGAAATGGGATTATCCTTGTTGTTTGGACCCAGAGGAAAGAATTAAAAGAAGTGGTCAAGAAATGGTGGGCTCCACCTCATTAGAAATAGTCTTAGGATGGTTTAATGATTACTCGTCAAATCATTCAGTCTTAGCAACTATGAACACTTGCAACTGCAGATACATGTGACTTTCTCTGTAAAATCTTTTAAAATGGAACCTACATGCATCAAAACATTTCCAATAAAAACCTAAGAAAGGTTTTTTAACAGACAATTTTTCCATTAACTAGTCAGACAGCTAAATAATTAAGAAATACAGAGAATATGAAATCATATTTTGTTGTTTTTTTTTTTTTTAAGGAAGCATCTGATTTAGTGGTAAAGCCTTGAAGGCACTCTTCAAAGGAAGTTCTCATAAATATGCCAAAATACTACAGGAGTAACAGGACATCTAAATTCATTGCCTTAACTCACTCACCCTCCCCCCACTCACTTTTCAGTCACTTGCAATCTGGCTTCTTATATTACCTATCTACTGAAAATGTTCTTGTTAAGATTATTAATGACCTAGTAATTGTCATTTTTTTTTCTCAATGGATTTTCCCAATCATCATCTTTCTTTACCTTTCTGCACCTTTGAAGCTATTAGCTAACTCTCCCTCCTATACCTCTCCATTTCAGTCTCTTTTGATGGTTCTTCAACAACTAACCATTCGTTTTCCTCCAAAAAAAAGTACCACTCCATTTCCTATCTCCATCACTTTGTACTGGCTCCCACACCTGGAATGTTTTGCCCCTTCATCTCCACTTTTTGTGGGGGACATAATGAGATAATATTTGTTAAGCATTTAGCACAGTGCCTAGTTCAAGATGGCACCTAAAAATGTTTGTTCCCTTCCCTGTGCCCCTTCATGTTAGTCAACATGTGCCAGTTACTAGGCCAAGCACTGAGGATACAGGGAAAGACAAAAAAAAAACAACAAAAAAAAAAAACAGTTCCTATTCTCAATGACCTCTAATGGGAGAGATACACGAAAACAACTATATACAAACAAGATAATTAGAAGATAAATTACAGATAATTACAGAGAGAAGGCACTCAAGGGGATTGGTAAAACTTCTTGTAGAAGGTGGCACTTTAGCTAAGACATGAAGGAGACAAAGGAGACCAGGAGATGGAGATGAGGGGGAAAGAATTCCAAGGATGGGAGACAACCAATGAAAATGCACAGAACTAGGAGATAGCTGGTCTTGTTTGAAGAACAGTAGGAGGCCAGTATCACTGGATCATAGACTATGTAGAAGAAGTGTAAGAGATAGGAAAGGGAGGAGATGGCTGGGGTATGAAAGGTTTTGAATACCAAACAGATTGTTTTATAGTTGATCCTGGAAGCGATAGGGATCCACTGCGGTTTACTGAATAGGGGAGTGAGAGGGTGAGACCTGCACTTTAGGAAGTTCACTTTGACAGTTGAATGGTGAATGGACTGGAGTGGAAAGAGATATACTCTTGCTCACTGGGTTAGACAGAAGATGCAACGAGGTAAATTTGCCATAGTGTCAGAACAGGCTTCCCAACAATCAGAGTGAAGTAATAGTGGGATGAACTGCCTAGGAGATATGAGTTCCTCCTTATTAGAAATCTTAACCAGGGGCTGGATGATCATTTATTGCATATGTCATGAGAGTTCTTTTTCAGGTACAGGTTGGGTTAGATAGTCCCTGACAACCCTCTGAACTCTAAAATGTCATGGAATTCATTTTCTTCACTTCTGAACTCACCTCTCCTCTGAACTTTTTTATTTCAGTTGAGGCTAAGATTTTTAAGAGGTTTGTAATCTCAGAGCTGTCCTCAGCCCTTCTCTTTCCCTCACCTTCAAAATTCAATAAACTGCCAAGTCTTATTAATTCTAAATTCATAACATCTCTTACATCTATCCCCTTCCTCTCCACTCACATGACCAACAAACACCCAAGTTAAGGCTCTCATAACCTCTCATGTAGACTATCGCAATCACTTCCAAACTGGTTTTCCTCTTTCCAGTCCTTTCCTTCTCCAATCCTTCCTCCATAAAGTTGTCAAAATAATCTTCAAGCTATAAATCCTATGATCCTTAAAGCAGTTTCACTGTCTTATTCAGAAGACATTGAAATGGATCCAAATACAAATATAACCATGCCTGCCGACTGGAGAATATTCAGTAGCTCCCTACTGCCACCAAGAAAAAATACAAACTCTTCAGGTTGGCACTGAAGGCTCTATTACATACGTTCCCATACTTATTTCACATTAAGTTCCTTCACATAATCTATGCTCTAGCCAAACTGCCAAACTTGTGGCTAGCTCAGTGTTTCATTTCTTGCCTCTGTGCTGATGTTCCCGATGCCCATGATGTATCTGAAGGTATCCCTCCTTACTCTGTCTCCTTAGAATCCCTGACTCTCTTCAAGGCTCAGTCCAGGCACCACATTCTCTAGGGGGGCTTTTATTAAACCTCTGGTTAAATATACTCTTTTCTTCTTCAAATTACCTTGTCTTTATTTATCTGCTCATATGCTGCTTTCCCCAAAAGAATGTAAGTTCCTTGACGGAAGATGACATGTTTTCATTCTTGCCTTTATAGCCTCCTCAGCATCTATCACCCTGCCATGCACAGAGTAATCCCTTAGTATGCTTAATGAACTGAAGTGAATTTGGAGTGGTGTCAATGGGACTCTTGGTCAGGGATGGGTTAGATTAAATGGCCTCTCAGATCCAGATGTGTGATTTGGTCAAACATTACCCCACCCAAAAGTTAATTTCTACATATTTCCTTTGGCAGCAATACAATCTTATGCCTTTCAAAAAATGCTATAAAATTATCTCCTTAGCAATAAAAATGGATCTTAATTAGGTTTTAGAATATATGTCTTGTTAACAAAGGCCATGATGTCTAGAAATTATTCCTGGTGTATTTAGAATAAAAATGTCAGGAAACACAGTAGCTTCTAATCAGAAGAGAAACTCTACTTTCAGTTCAATAAATTCAACAAACAATCAACAAAAATTTTTAAGCACTACTATATGCCAGACACTATGTTAAGCACTAGGAATACAAAAAGAGGCAAAATACAGTTCCTGCCCTCAAGGAGCTCACATTTATTAAGAGCCTACTACGTTTAAGACAAAACCCTCAAGACTCATCTGAATATGACGTCCGGGAAGTATCAACAGCTATGATATTAAAACTTGTTGCTTCTTTCCCAATTTTCTCTATCTTTTCCTGGAAACAAGAAGACACTGTCCAAGAAGAAACCTCCTCCTTCTTCTTAAGGCTCTTGTAACCTTTCAATTTCTCTCTGTCCTTTACTTTTCTCCAATTTACTCCTTTTGCTTACACAAAATGAAGAATCACACAGAAACACAGAATTGCTGGATTTCATTTGGTGAGAATGCTGGACTTGGAGTCAGGAAGATTTGAGAGTTTGAATCTTGCCTCAGCCACTAGCTGCTTGACTTTAGGCAAATGACTTAACCTTTCTCAGTTCTAGTTTGCTCATCTGTAAAATGGAGATAATAACAGCCCCTACCTCACAGGATTGTTATGAGGATCTAATGAGATAACTGATATAAAGCACTTCGCATACTTAAATGTACTATATAAATGCTCACTATTATTAGTAGTAGTATATTATACATTCCTTATTACTAGTCAATCCAACAAATACTCGTTAAGCTATGCAAGGAAATGGAAAATATAAACTGAGAAAGCCACAAATATAAATAAGATACAGTCCCTATCCCCAAGAAGTTTACACTCTAGCACAATGGTGTGGGTTAGAGAAAATAAATATTCTACATAA